TTTGCGGCATCTCGGAGAGAGAGGTTAGGGTTTCGCTTGAAACTACCGGCAACTCTCTTTGTCGTCTCAGCGGCTTCCGGTTTTCGATTTCCCCCCGATCCAGACTTCCTGGCTGTCGACAAACGTTCCCCAAACACTTTAATTACATTTGTAACGGTTGATTTGGCAACTTTTAGCGATTTTGCCAACTTTGCGTGCGAGTAGCTCGGATTTTCGCGATGCGCGAGCAAAATTTTGATACGCTGCTCTTCTTGCTTGGACGGCATTTTGACAACTGAAGAGTGAATTCCAAAATCAAAATAGGAGCAACATTCTACACACACACACCTTCAAAATAAGGGGTGTTCAGGTTTTTTAAATGCAAAATTGAAAGAAATACGTCAAGTTGATATTGACCAAATTTTGACCGTATCACCCTTTATCTCCGTCCAGTAGCATACAGCGTCCCATTTCCACCAAGCTTCTATTTTTCCGCTCTGCAACGCCGTTTTGCTGTGGCGTGTAGGCGGTCGTGAACTGGGGCACAATTCCTTCCGAACGATAGAATCGTCCGAGGTGTTTGGTTGTATACGCCCCTCCTCGGTCGGACCTGATTGCGGTTGATACCTGCCGAAACGTGTATGCACCATTTCTATACGTGAGCTTCAATCGTCTCGGCGGCTTCGAACTTGTGCTTCAAAATATAAATCACAGTGAATCGACTGTAATCGTCAATCATCACCAAGAAATAACGAGCTCCTCCTGGCGTTACGGTGTACATCGGGTCACAGATATCGGTGTGAATCAAATCAAGCAGTTTCGTTGACTGCGGACCAGATTGCTTCGTCTCGCCGTTTTCCCTTCCAAGCAGTATCCGAACGTTACGCTGATGCCACAATCGCGTACGCAAACGCCAGCCGCGAGCCTCACGCGTATCAGCCGTTGAATCGCTTCGATGTCAAGGGCCACCCACATTAGATCCGTTTGCGTTGCGTTGACGTAAATTTGACAGTTGGACAATAGATTTAGCTGTCACTTTGCCGCAACGCGTCCGATCCGGATCTAATGTGCGTGGGCCTTCACGGTGCCCAAACTTGCGGTGCCGTGTGGTTGATCGCGGCGGTTTTAAGGTCGTGGTGGCACACACAAAACAAACATTGTGTAGTACTAGAATTTTGACTAGAATGGGGTACGTTAATCGATTTGCTTGGGACCAATAGACTAGTCAAGTAGTGAGCCAATTTAACATCGTTAGTTTCGTATTGATTGTTGGTACCACCTCATCGGTACCGGGAAACAAGTAGTCTGGTGAAAAATCTTCCACCTGACCCTATAACGTATGAAGAAGCTATATACGGTCCCGAAAGCGTGCTGTGGAAGGCAGCTATTCAGGAGGAGCTGCAATCGCTCCGTGCAAACCGCACGTAGGAGCTGACGGACCTCCCTCGAGACCGAAAACTAATCGGATCCAAATGGATTGTTAAGCGCAAGCAGGACGAAAGAGGTTGTGGCATACGTGCGCATTTCATCGATACGTCAAATGACGGTGCGATGTTAAATGCCTGTGATAATTTAGCAACACTGATGCTAGGATAAATATGTCAGAAATATGATTGTATGACATTCACCTGAAAGCCATTCCCCAGAAAAGCATTCCCCAGAATGTACCATTCCCCAGAAAAGATGATGAAATTAGTAATTTTCACTTTTCTTTTTTTTACTATTGATAATACACTATGTTTACTTTTATGGAACTATGTATTTATAAATTCCAAACCATGTTTTAGCTCTTTATAAAATGACAACCTTCAAGTTTTCGAGCACTTCGTTCATCATTTAATAAGTCAAAGGGTCTATTATGCAATCCAATTCAACCAGTCGGAAACTGTAAAACCTTATCGAAGAATTGTTCGACTTGAGTTGAAGAATTTCTCGCGATGGATTAAAAAATCGATGCAACTACCGGTTGAACTACCGATTTCAAATTTATAAAATTATTCCACTCATTATTATCCCAAATAGTCATTACCCCGAATCCCTTGCGAAAAGCTAATGGGCCGTATGAATAAAAAGAGTTTACTTTACTTTCCCGTGCTTTTCTTACAGGAAAAGTAAAGTAAACGCTTTTATTCATACGACCTATTGATTATATATTTTCCTTATATATTAAAAGAAGGGGATATTCCCTTCTTTATCATATATTTAACGAATTTATGATGTTCTCTTCTATATATTCAAAGAAGGGAATATTCCCTTCTTTATCGTACATCCAAATAATTAATTCTTTCTTTTTGTTATATTTTCAAAGAAGGGAATATTCCCTTCTTTTTCATATTATTTACATATTTAAAGTAGGGAGTATTCCATTCTTTATCGTATATCCAAAGAATTATTGATTTCCTTTTCTTAAATTTTCAAAGAACAGAATATTCCCATCTTTATTATATATTTAACGAATTAATGATGTTCTCTTTTATATATTCAAAGAAGGGAATATTCCCTTCTTTATCATAGATTTAACGAATTAATTATGTTCTCTTTCATATATTAAAGGAAGAGCATATTCCCTTCTTTATCGTATATCCAAAGAATTAATTATTTCCTTTTCTTATATTTTCAAAGAAAGGAAAACGCCTTGATCCATTAAGAAGTTTTTCTATTCTTTTTTATATACGCGAAAGAAGATTCCAGGAGTGACTATAATAAACAAAAATAGTCAATCTAATACATGGCATACTTTTCTGGGGAACGGTACATTTTGGGGAATGGTCAAGGGCGTAGCCAGGTTTCGAGCTAGGGAGGGGCGAAAAAAAAATTACCATGGAAAATTTGGCCGAATGCCATTTCACCGAACGCCATTTCCTCGAAAGCCTTTGTGTTGCCGAGTTTAGGGGGGGGGGGCAGTCGCCCCCCCTGCCCCTATCTGGCTACGCCTATGGGAATGGTGTATTCTGGGGAATGGTTTTATTGGGTATAGTCCGTTCTGGGGAATGGTATACATTCTGGGGAATGTCATACAATCCAGAAATATACAGAAACAGTTCAGTAGACTCTGGAAGTCTAAACGAATAACAAGTCCATTTTAAACTCCGTTAGCATCCGAAGAAGTCCGCCTAGTGAAATCAGTCCTCGATCCGCCCAGTGAAATTGGTCTACTCTCGGTCCGCCTGGTGAAGCACGGACATAAGGGACTGTTCATTAACTACGTAGACAGTTTTTTTAGGATTCTTAACCTGAGTTGACAGTTGTCCATACAACATTTTTAAAATTTGTATGGTCCGTGGATAATTGTCAATCCCCCCCCCCTCCCTTAACTGTCTACGTAATTTATGAACAGCCCCTAAAAGAGGTAAAATGCGCTACAAAGTTCGATTGGTAGCGCAGGGGTTCACGCAGAAGTATGGAACCGACTTCGATGAGGTGTTCGCTCCTGTAGTCAAGCAGGTTACCTTTCGTGTTCTGCTGTCGGTCGCTAGCCAGAGGAAGAAGGTTCTGTGAAACACGCCGACGTGAAAGCAGCGCATCTGCACGGGATTCTTGAGGAAACCGTGTACATGCGTCCGCCTACTGGTTCGAGCTTCGAACGAGAAAGGCGATGGCAAGGTTTGCCTGCTCCGTAAAAACCTGTACGGACTGAAGCAAGCTGCCCGCGTTAGGAATCAAACATTCGACGCTGTTCGAGCAGTCCAAACATGACTCGTGCCTATGAAGAAGAGTATGAGTAGATAATTCGAGAGCTGAACCGGCATTTCACTTTCTTGGAATCGAGGTGAATCGATCAGCTGGAGGAGAGAGCCTGAATTAAACAACATACATCCGAAAACTGCTGGAACGTTTCGGAACGACTGATGCAAAACCACAATCAAAGGAGGAGAATGAAACGGATAAATTGCCAAATAATCACCAATATGCCAGCTTTATTGGCGGTTTATTGTACGTGGCCGTAATACGTGTCCAGATATTTCGGTTGCTCTAGTTGTCCGACTCAAGCTGAATGGCTGGAGGCAAAGCAGGTATTGCGATTGAGGTATCGCAAACGTTGAACGATGAGCTGGTTTTGGCCGTGGATGGTTCATCGTTAAAAATCTACGTCGACGCTGATTGGCGACTCGAGTGACCGGTAATCAACGTCGGGTTTCTTGTTCCGTTTCTCTGGTGGATATGTAAGCTGGAGTTTCAAAAAGCAAACTTGTGTCAGCTGACAACTTTTCAGAATTTCGAAACATACGCTACGAAGCAAAATTAGAAGAAGAAGAATAGACCAAAATCTCAAGGATTCATTTCGGAACAACGAAAAAGAAAACTATCAAGAGATTTCATTCGAAGTCACTTTGTATTTACTGAACTTTGATTATTACTTTTTTTGTCTGCAGCACATTCATCAGTTATCATATTATGCATGAGAAAATGTTGAGTTCTTTCAGTATCATTTCATCGTATTTTTTAATCGCAATCGTCTATTTCTTTTCGGTTCCTTACTTGACTAATTGTATTTCTATTATTATTAGAACTTTACTATTTTACTCATCGGATTGTTTTCAATCGTGCATCATGCAGGTAAGTGAACTTTGAATCGTTTTGAAGAATAGTTATGTGCTTATTATCTTTATCTTTCAAATTGTAGTTTCCTTCTTAAAGGATGTTTTGTAGATATATAATTATGCTTGTGTTTCTGTTAAACTGACACATATACTTTACCATACATTTGATACAAAAACTTTTACTTATTTCCCATTTCTTCAAAAACTGGTTGTCACGATACTAAAACTTAAGGATTTCTCTATGTTTTTCCGTTTTCGTGAGGAACGAAAAAAGGAAATTAGTATGTTAGGGAAATGTGACACGAAACATGAAAGATGAGTTATTTAAAATAAGAAGAAAGCCGAAGCCACAAATAAAAGAAAAACTTTCGAAACTTAATGTACAATTGGAACAAACTTGCATTAGAGTAGTGAATCTTCAAATCGTGAAGATTTCTGCATCATGCTGTGCAGCACAGTAGTCAAAAAATTGCCCATTGTTTCCTCTGTTGTCAATATTCTCAATATTCTCCCCCAAAAAGACCCTCTTACTTGCTCAGCAGTCCCCGACCAGCACCACTTCGGATTGCCCCCAGTTCGGGGAAGTCGCTGGACGACAAACCACCAGGTGGTGACGACCGTGACGAGGACGACGGTGGCGCAAATAGTGCACCACGACCGTAGCCTCCCACGATCCGATTGGAATCGGAGGACCGTGACGAAGACGGACGCAGTTCGTCGCGATCCGAATCCGGCGAGTGACGTTCCTGTTTGACGCGTGGATGGTCGGTACTGCTGCGGCTACTCCCGCCCCGACTGTAATCGGGGGAATCGCGGCGACGATGACGATCCCGCTCGTAATCGCGACCGTAATCACGGCTGCTACTGCTGTAGCAGTCCCGATCACGGTCACGATCACGACGGCTACTGTCTCGATCGCGATCACGACGATCGTAGGAATCGTGTGAACTGCGCGGCGGCGAATAATCGCGGCTAGTCGACCGATCCCAAGCGCTTCGGGAAGACTCGCGACGGCTGCTGCTGCTGCTGGTGACGCTCGAGGTTTCATACTTCATCGAGTCGCCCAAGGCAGGATATTCGTCCTTGATCTGTGAGAGAGAAAAAGATCGACATTTTAGCTACTGGATCATATGTTTTCAAGTCAAAATCGACATTTTAGCTACTGGATCATATGGTTTCAAGTCAAAATCAATCACCTTCTTCCGACTGTAATCGTAATCTTTGAATCCGGAGGATGACGCCCCCAAGCCACGGCTATGGCTGAATACCTTCGAGCCCTTCTCGTCGAACGAATCGTAGTGGCTCTTTGGCAATTTCTGCATCTTTGGATTCGTAACGTGGGTTAGTTCCGACGATGAAACAAACGAACAGTTATCCATCTGGTTACTGATGTACGAGCTGGTATCGCCAATGTCCGTGGTGTTGCAGAGGGCTGTATCGGCATTCATCGGTAGATGCCTTCCTGGTTTCATCTCGAGGCTCAGATCCAGACAGCAACTGTCCGATATGATGTAAGCCCAGCGGACGCATCTGGACAGAGGACAGTACTTTCCATTACCTTGTTCCTCGTGGGCATCGCAAGAGATATCCTTGGTGTATTCGTAAACGTCCTTCTGAATGATGGCCTGCGCAATGTGCACTGAGGGGAAGGTCTTGATGTCTAATCCAAAGCTCTCGGTAGCACGCTTCAATTGGTAAAACAACTCCGACAGTGGGCACACGAGCAGAGTGTTCTCATCCATTGATCCTTGGTTCAATATTCCCTTCAGAATGTTCTCCACCATCTTGATATCGTTGGTTTCGGTGAACAGCGGGGGCATCTTTTCCTGCTGGGACAGGAAACTGAACATCTTCAGGATAATTTCATCGTTGTCCTTCTCGCCCATCGCATCCGGTGGGATGGGAAGCTGATGGTCAGTCTCCGAATGTTGCTTGGCATCGTATGCCATACCCAGGGGAAGCTTTCCCGGATTGATGAACATGTGCAGTTTGTCCATTACACCGTCCTTCAGGCTGTAGCGCACCAAGCCCATTTCCGCCGGGATGTACGTTCCGCCGGATGTGACGCAAAAGTAAGCGAAGGAGATGAAGTAGAATTCCAGTTTTTCCAGCTCTGCAAAAAGGGAAGACACAAAAGGGGTTGGTTATTGTTTATGTAGGGTGTCATTGTGCTGAATAATGTGCCCCGAGCCACTAAATGATTGTATTGTATTAGTACTAGTCTACGTTGGTTGACGAAATAAATAAATAGCAATACAATAAAACAGGGCAGGAGGCAATATCAAGAGTCTGAGGGTTGATAATATTGGAATCTTGTCGAAAAAATATATGAAAGAACAACGCTCGAGTACTTTTTCAAAAGGTCCTAAGCAAGGGACTGACCGCCACCTTTTCATAGCTAGCATAAAAACGTGAGTACATTTCAAACTAAACTGGCCCAGAGCGTGGTCCCGCAGCTATGCTCGCTATGGTTACTTGTTATTATTTGAGATAGGAGTGAGTGCCACCTCCTTGGTCTTAAGTAACAAATAATGTAAACAAATCGAGCTAATCGATGCAAACTATTGCTCTTCTAGCATTGTATGTGCTGCAAAAACACTTTCTACTTTTTACCATTATAGTATGTCAATGTGGTAACTCAACCAGGAAAATCGGGAAAAATTGGGATTTAATGTTTATCAGAAACGAGAGGAGATGAATGCGAGTAGCCTTGAATTATTTCTTCATAATGCAAGAAAGATTGCAGATTACCTTTAATTGCCTGAGAAAACAAAACTGGCCGATCTAAAACTAAAGCACGTTAACCACAGTGGGATGATTAAAATGAAGCAATTAGCCAGAAAGACAGTATACTGGCCAGGTCTTAATGCAGATATAGAAGCATTTGTTAAACGCTGCGAATCGTGTGCTAAAATGACAGTAGTGCCAAAGGCGAAATCTACAGAGACGTGGAAACCAACAAAGGGTCCTTTAAGTGGATTGCACTCTGATTTCTTTTATTTTGATAGAAAAACATTTCTACTTACACCTAGTTGACAGCCATTCTAAATGGCTGAAGGAAATAGAACTTATGAAACATGGGACTAATGCTAGATCAATAAAAATGCGTTTAGGCCGTTCGCAATGCTGTTGTATTTTATAAGGACTGTTTCAATTTGAAGCTAGAACAGAAACCCACCTCTCGCAATACTGAGATGCAGTTTCTTTATTCGAGCACTATTTTGCACCAGATTTGCAACTGCTCGACTATTCTGTTTTATTTCTGAGCGAGTTGAAACACGAATGGAACTCTGTTTCAAATTTCTTTGGATGTGTTTAAAGATGTTTCGAAGAGCTTAACAAACAAAAAACGGAGAACGGAAATAGAGTAAAGTTTATAGAACTGATGATTACTGTGCTATCTATAGCAGTAAGTTAGTAGTAGGCTACGACTTTAGAAACGTAAGCTCGGGTAGAATAAATTGTACATCTGGAAGAGTAAGACGTGTTTATTTACTACATACTCTGTAAATCCGATTCCGTGAAGTGAATTTAGAAGTTGGTTCCTGTTCCGGAGTACCACAATTACAAACATCTTTTAGAACTGTGCGTTGCGCTGATCGTGTTGCAGTTTTATTTTTGACAGTTTCAAATTGACCACTTTGTCAAGCAGTTTTGGCGTGACTTTCTACCAGCGATTTCAGCAAAACTGGACCAACTAATTTCTATTTTTTTTATGAAACGCACAAATTTTGGCTACTTTTCTCGAGGTTCTAGAAGAAAAAATCTCAAAATAATGTTTTATTTCAAAGTTCGAGTGGTAGTAAACGTCATTTTAAGTGCTCGAATGAAGTGGTTAATTATAGAATTGACGAGTAGTTTAGAACAATTTTGAAACTCAACATTGCGAACGGCCTTAGACTATCTGATTTGTTGGTCTGCTTCGAGCGGACTGCATTTTCGACATGATGATTAGGTTTGACGTTTGATTTGTCGAACGAAGTAGGTTTGTGTTTAATTTTCATTCGACTCATTCAGCAAAATAGCCGCAAGAGAGGCGAAAATATTTTTTTTTCTTCTAAAATTTCACTTGATTTGCTTGATTTGTGTTTTGAAGACATCCGGCATGATGTCAGTAAACCGATTTCCTAGTCGATTTCACTATTCAATATTGTCCTGTGTATGATTTGACTGATTTTTATTTTCCAATGTGATTGGCAGAAAGATGTCGTAATGGCTTTGGTCAACTGAACAGTGTTTATATAATACGTAGCATGTATTATATAAGAATAAGCATGCCAAACAGCAGGTCTGAGAACCTACTAAAATGTTTTAGAGCTTCAGAGAGGTTCGGAGATTTACGGGGAAATTTGTTGAGCTTCAGGGTAGTTCGTAGATCGTGAGAACACAACTACAAAAATTCTGAAAATTTTACAGAAATCAATTGAAATTGTCAGAAATTCAGAAAAAATCACTAGAGAAATCGTAGATCTTCAGAAAGAAAGAAATTTTCAAAACTTCAAGCAAGTTAAAATATTTTCAGATCAATTTGTAAAACTAAAAGAGGAATTTTGCAAATCTTCAGGGAAATTCGCAGAACTTCAGACAACTCCAAGAATCTTCAGTGAAATGCAAAGAATTTCACAGAAGTTTGGAGATCTACTGAAAAATGATTGAACATTAGAAAAGTTCGTAGATCTTCAAAACAAAGCTACAGAGCTTTGAAAAAAATTACTTCAGAACAAGAATGGTCATAGATCTTCAGATAAATTTGAAGACCTTCAAGAAAGTGTGCAGATTTTCTAATACATTTTTAGAATCTCAGAAATGTTAATGGATCTTCAGTGAAATGTGCAGAACTTCAGGGAAGTTCGGCGATTTTAAATAAAATATTTATACGATTTCAGGGAAATTTGTAGACCTTGAGAGAAACATTTAAAATTTCAAGGCTCTACTATTTTCTATTTTGGAGAACTTTAGGTAATTTAGAAGATATTCAGGGAAATTTTCAGATTTTCAGGGTAGCCCGAGAACCTACAGAGGAATTTACAAAACTTAAGACAAGTTTACAGATCTACTGAGAAATTTATTGAGCCTCAAGGTAATAGGTAGATCTTGAGATTAAAACTTCGGAGCTTCAGAAAACTTTACTGAACTTAAAGGGCATTTGCAGAACGTCAGAAGAGTAGATGTTAAGAGAAATCTGTAGACCTGCAAGGAATTTTGTAGACCTTCAGAGACATTCAGTAGTTCAGAAAGCTTCACAGTTTCAGAAAAATTCGTAAAATTTCAGAAAAGCACTTCAATTTCAAAAACAAATCTCAGCGAAGTACGAAAGTCCAAGATTTTGCAGAACTCCATGGAAGTTGGAAATAGATTGATCTGAAGAACTTCAGAAAAGTTCGTAGATCGTAAGTGAAGACTGTAGAACTTCAAGAAGTTCGTACATTTTTAGAAAAATTTGCAAAACTTTAGCAAAACTCACAGAACTTCGGGAAAGTTCGCCGATCTTTAGAAGTATTTACACAACGTCAGAGAAATTCGTGAATCTTCAGAGATAATTTGTAGAGCTTTGGGGAATATCAAAGAATTTCAGATAAATCTTCAGAACTTTGTGTAAGTCCAAGAATCCACAAAGAAATTTACAGAACTTTAGAGAAGTTCGGAGATCTACTGATAAATTTATTGAACTTCAGGGCAGTTCGTAGATCTTCAGAGCAGAAATACAGTACATCAGAAAACTTTACAGAATTTTTAAGAAATGTTAAGAACTTCAAAAAAGTTCAGAGGGTAGATAGCAAATCTACTCAAAAATCTGCGAATGTTTAAATAAATTTTCAGAATTTTATTGAAGTTATTGGATTTTAAGAGAAATTCGCTGATCTTTAAAGATATTTGTACAATTTCAGAAAAAATAGTAGATCTTTAGAGAACTTCCTTAAACTTCCGAGAAGCTCAACAATTTCTAGATACATTTTTTATACTTAAGGAAATGGTGTATCTCTGAACATAATTGCAGATATTCATTGAATCATGAAAATCTACAGAGAAACTTACAGAACTTTCGAGTAGATTATTAGAAATTTAGTAAACATCAGAGATAATTGTTGATATTTAAGGATCTTAAATCTGCATGGATTCAGGAACTTTGTAGAGTTTTAGAGAAATTTGCAGAACTACCGGGAAATTTGCAGATCTTCAGGAAAGATTGTTGATCTTCAAAGATGTTTTACCAGAGAACAGAAACAACACTTTAGGGACGTCCGAAGGTCTTCAGAGAAATATGCAGAATTGAGATCTTAACAGAAATTGTCAGAGCGCAAGGAATCATGTATTGTATTGTATTGAGAACTTGTCGAAAGTTGGTATCGACATCATGGCGAAGTTCTTTTTCGTCTTCATATCGCAGTTCTTGAAGGACAATATGCGCCAATTCCCTGCCGGTGTTTCTCCTGAGCAACCATTCCCTGCTCCACAAAGTTCACCTTCTCCTTCTAATTTTATTTAAAATTATAAAAGCAAATACGCCTGCCGAAGCTAGAGTAATTTTCCGGTAATTCATTATGGAAGTATTTACTTTTGATTCCTGATACAATTTTGTTTTGAAATCTAAATTGACAGTGTTCTTTCGACATGTGCAAGCAGTGTGAACTATAGTCGCTATATTCATAGTTTCCACATCTTAAACATGGTGTTAGTTTGTGTAGGCAGACGCCTTGAGTCACGAGAAAACGGTTTCCGAGATTTTGTTCGCAATAGCTGATGTGCTCTTTTTTGTTGTTGGTCGTGATTTGCTCGATTGGTTCCGCTATTTGACAGCTCAATTGGTTCCCAAGATTCTATCCGCCAGACTATGAATATAGCGACTAAAATGTGTACATCAACAAACACGGGGGTTCGAAAGTAAAATCGAGTAGATTTTTCATTATGGCGGCGATCAAAATCAGACCAAGAAATCAGATAGTCTAAACGGACCTTAGTTCGAAAGTTCATTCCAGTATTTGCTTGTTTTAGACTACCAGATGTAATAATAACAGATGGTGAGGTTGATTAAGGATGTTTGGAGAACTCGATTACAATTTCCGATCAGTCGAAGGTCTTCAGTATAATTTCTGATAATTCGGAAGAATTCCTGATCAACCTGATATGGTGGGATAATATTTAAATGATTTAATTTAAATTTCAGATTATTTGAAGGTCTTTGATATGATTCCTGATCAACCTGATATTTTGAATACACATTCTAACTGACCGAAGATCTTCAGAAGAGTTTCTGATCAATGATATGATATGGAAATATATGAAGAACTCGATTTCACTTTCCGAATAGTCGAAGGTCTTCGATATAATTTCTGATAATTTGAACATGCGAAAAAGGACACGCTCACCTACGAACTGTGATCCGGTAGCAAAGGAACAAGAAAATGTGGCAACGTGGTAAAACTAATGGGTCCAATTGCTGATTGCTTTTTTACTATGTCCGTGACGAATTTACAGCGGAAATGTTTGGCGCACCCTTTGAAGTTAAATGCACGTTTCCATCATTAGAAAAACAAAATCTTTGACTAAAATCAAACGGAATTCTTTTTCCCGATATTCGCTTTTCTAAACCGGATTTTCGGGACGTTTCCTGGAAAACCACCCAAATCACAGACAAACGGCTAAAAATGTCCGAACGATGGCCTTAAGTAGAGATGGTCTAGTAAGAGCTTAACCCTACTTTTGGCTTCCTGCAGTATAGGGCCGAGATGAGTGAAAATAACTTACTTTTGGGTACTTTTTTCTAACCGTGTACTAGACCCTCTCTAGCCTATAGCATCTCCAACTATGTATATAGTAAACAAGGTTAGTTAAAGTATGAAAACAATCCATTCAAAGTGTTTTTATGTTACTTCATACGCGAAGTTAGCGATTTTCAGAGTTGGTTGGAAATGCTAACATGAAGCTTTAGTGTGATAATTTATTAGCTAGAGAATGATCTTTAGAAGAGGGTAGGTGGATAGTTCCGTTAGAGTACGGCAGTATGAAAATTGAATAGAAGTTGAAAATGAGCGAAGGGCCATTTATGCGACAGTTTTTAAAGATAGACGCACATCTTTTGCCTAACCCGTACGATGTACGCGGAGACTTGAAATACACTCAAAAAATTTCACACGTCATCATCATGTGCCTCACACTTAATTTTGCACTTATTGTGAAACACATCCATTTCATGTGTGAATCTTATGCTTTCAACAATGCCTCAAAACTATTGGTTCGAATTGTGACGCACTTGAGTGGAAAGGGGGTGGTCTAAAACCTCTCAAACAAGATATACATAGTTTCTGAACAATCTCAAAATGGCTTTAAACCGCCAAAACAGTCATCAAGCTTAAAAATAATTGAAAAAGCAAAATGGTTTAAACAAATCTTAAATTGCCTACAAAACTGGGCCAAAGCTGAAAACCTGAAGCGCTAGAATTTCCATAACACTGTGAAATATACTAAACTGGCCTCAAAACTGCTGAAAGCGCTCCAAAATGGAATCTGGTTTTGTATTTATATCAACCTCTAACAATTAAATTTCAAATATTTAGTTTCAAGGTGATTTTCCTGCTGAACATTACAAAAAACCGAGTTTTTACTGGAGACAATAAAATCCTGGCTTTTCCCGGTTTTTGAAGGTATAGATTTGTCACCCTGTAGCTTGCATCTTATCAGGTTTCACAATGCTTGTACTAGAATGGTGAAATGGGCAAAGTCCACCCAAACATCGTTATGTGGTGAAATACTGAATATAGAATTTACATAGCATAGAGGTTATGTTGTACAATCGCTTCTTACTCGATTGTTTCCTTGCATTTGTGAATATTGTTTACAAATTAATTTAATGGCACTTAATATGCTATTCTTTATGGATAATATGCTAGTAATAAAGAACACGACAATGGGGGTGTTCCTTTTGCTATAGGCTGCTGCAACTTTCTGTAAGTTGCTGCACGAAAATAAAATAGTGTAGCAAGTACGGGATCAGACCTCATGTGTTCGTATGCGTATCAACAACTGCCTATACTTTCAACACCGCAGGCAACCCTCCCTTTTAGAATAATTAAACAACATTGAAGGACAGCTACTGCGATGCCAAAAAAAAAAGAAAAGAAAGCGAGAATAAGGCACAGGAAGGCAAAACATAAAGAGCAAGGATGTGTTCTTAGACAAAAAGGGATCTCTCAGTCAGTACCCATACCATCGCAGGTAGACAGAAGCGGTGGAACTTACCATTATTGGCAACGGCCTTGTCCAGCATGTCGCTGATTGTGTTCTTTATCATATCGACTTTGGCTACCTTTGCCTTCTGCTCCGCTTCTACCATGGTCAGCGGTATGCCCTGAGAGGTATATTTTTCGCCATTTTCTCTCAAAAACTCCCGATGCTCACGGGCCATCTTCATATAGGGTTCCTTTTCATCGTTGCTCATTGCCTGTAATCACGAATGTGGTTTATATGGAAAATTCCCTGAAAACGCACGAAACCTACATTCCATCTGGGCGACGCCTTCAGTTGAACCTCGTGTACCCCGCCACGGAAGTAGTGCCCGGCGGCCTCCTGCTTCTTCTTGAACTCCATCATGAAGAAGTAGTAGGGCCCCTTCGGTTGGTGGTTCCGTTTATTGGTTTTTTTCGGTGCCATCTTTCAAGGTTGTTGAAAATCTGGAAACCGGTTTCCGATTACGCAGTTGGAAGGATTTTCTACCTGCGGTTTCCAAAAAAAAGTCCAGAATGGCGAAATACACAAAGAGGAAACTACAAGATGTCGGTCGGACGCGATGTGCGTTGTTGGATCTTCTTCCTTTAGCAGCCACTGGTTGTCATTCGGGTTACCTCGTTTTTACTTATTTCACTGTTACAATCCACACACAGATTACGGTTATTTTGTCACCAAAAAGATACACGAATTGTAATAAATTTAATAAATTAAATTACACAACACAGTACAGTAACATCAAGCCCGAGATGATGGCGCTGTGCTACGTCGTTCACCGTCACACTCAAAAGTCACAAGCAGAATGAAAAAAACATGCGAGTGAACAAAAAGAAAAGTACCTTTACCTTCTTTACCGATATGTTGGATGCGGTGAACTTACAGGATGAACGGCAACAAATTCATTTGCTGCGGCAGCTACCACAGACACAACCGAACTGATAAATAATTGGAGGAAAACAAAATGTAAGCGTGAATTTTCAAATAGCCGTATCTGCGAACAGTGTTGGAAAAGTTCGCGAGTCATAGGGAACTTTGATGAACTTTTCCATCACTGTCTGCGACTCACTTTGACGCAAACGATAAAAAAGAATTTGAATTTCATAAAGGTATTTATGTGAAACAAACTAAAACACTGTTAAAGCAACCGTACCAATGAGTAAATAAGGCACATTTACCAACCTCTACCATAACGCTACTTGCATACCGGGGGTTGTTATTCAGGTTGGGGAAATAGCAATCCGCACCTCACACTTAAATTTTTTCGCCGAGATTCCAACAGCCGAGTCATTCTGCAATTTATTTTGCTGAGATTCAGTCAAACAATTGCCGAGACTCAGCTAACAAAAAATATTTTGCTTAGATATCAGCTAACAAACAGATATTTTGCAGAGATATCAGCAAAAGTGAATGACGAAGTAATCGGCTGTTGGAGATTTTACCGAGCTAGATTAAGTGTGTGGGAAGTAGTGAGTTCATAAATTTAGCAAACCGGTAGCAACACATCAGACGGTTGCTATTTTAAATGAACGTCAAAAGTTTGTTTTGTCGGTGTGGAAAACGGTAACTTAAATTATGACTCTGATAGCAACGACCGGTGTGGAGAGGAGTGATTAAGCCAAAATGGAAACGCTGTGCGTAAGCAAAATAGTGCCGCAAATGGCAACGACTGGTACAGTTGCTTTTAAACGTGAATATTTCGACAGTGAGCATTCATAAGGGCCAATATCGCATCATGGTTAAACGAAGTTTAGCAATGATTTCTTTCCATTAGTAGTTTATAATTGATGCGATTTAAGTTATAAATCACTATAAAGTATAGTTGAAGATGCCAATTTCAAATAACAGACTGTAGTGGTATTTTTTTATACGATAGATGGAGTAGATGAAAGCATAGAGTTGATAGTTCCGTTAGAGTACGGCAGTGTGAAGATTGCATATAGATATTAGAATAGCGAGCTAGAACAACTTTTAAGGAAGGTACAAATCATACATACATACATATAGTCAAAGTACCCGAAAAAAAATAACAACAAAAATACAGTAAAAAACAATGTAACAATAAGACGAAAATTATTGTCTTAACAATGATTTATATTGTTACGTCTACAATAAATTTACCTTGATTTATGTTGTACAAAACAGTAAATTTCATGGTAAATGGAAAATTTACAATAAAAAAGGGGGGTTGTTAAGTATCTTAACAATGAAATTTTCGTGATTTCCCCATATAATTTTTTTCAATAACATTATATATTATTGTTATTTTACTGTTGGTTGGCGAATTTATTGATTAAAAAAAATAACAGTGTACTTTAGAGTGTATGTGTTGGCTTGACAGATCTACTTTATCGACTTTAAAAATAAATCGAAAAAATAAAACATCGCCCCGGGGAGGGAAGGGGGTGGTAATGTCTGTTACGGGTGAGTCCTTTTTTTACTGGTTATGGATTGAGATTCGATCCGGAACTTGTGAGAAATGGAAGCCAACTCCCCTGCACTCGATCTCTCTAGGTCACGTCTCCTTGGTGGTTGAACGTCGTTGATAAGTTAATGCATTCTACTGGAGAGAATCGCCCATGAAAATATGCTTCCACCTGAGAGTGATTTCCTGACATCTTCAAGTGGTGGATTTTTTTATTATTATTGTATGATTAGTGACTGCACGGAAAAGGTCTGCATTAAGCGGGATTTAGATGAGGCAGGAGAGTTGAGTTCAACTCAAACCGATCTGGTCGTAGGCGTTCAATTGACTTGGCAACGAATAGAGATAGAGATAACTCTGGATGGGAGCATACCATCAATTACTGTCAATGGTCGAAAGGTACAGTAGCAGCACCTACCCCACCCGTGTCCCCTCGAGATCGTCAAGTCGACGATGACAGGAGCACATATCGTGGTAGGGGTAAACAATAGTTGCAATTTCCAAAACCTACGACTGGATGCCTTCCTTCAAATAACAACTGAAGTGCGGTAAAAATCGGTAGAACTGTTTCAAACACACAGTTGGTACTTGAGCGGGTCGGTTTTCATCTCTTTTTGCCAGTGGTGGCGGGGGGGGGGGGGGGGACACTCCTCACCATCCCTCTCCAAAGGGGGAGTTTGGTAAAGAGAGATGAAAAAACCGATTTGTACCTTCCTTAAAAGTTGTTCTAGCTCGCTATTCTAATATCTATATGCAATCTTCACACTGCCGTACTCTAACGGAACTATCAACTCTATGCTTTCATCTACTCCATCTATCGTATAAAAATTACCACTACAGTCTGTTATTTGAAATTAGCATCTTCAACTATGTAAATCGTTGACTTCACGTAGAAGTAATACTAAAACATATAGTCAAAGTACTATAAAGTAAATATTCATTAAACTTCCGGATTCATTCGGAGCTGTAAAAATAAAAACATTATACCTACATCCAATTGTTTTCTAAGGACACGCTCGCGCCCTTTAGCAACCGCCATACATATTTATAGGTCTAATGTTCTTGCTATAGCGGCACCGGTAGTGTAGTGGTAAGCGTGATTACCTCTCACCCCAGCAGGCCTGGGTTCAATCCCAGTCTGCGCCACCGGGATGTTCTGAGGCATAACATCTCTGGTCACATAGCAGAGCATAGTCAATTCCCTTGGGTTTGACGTTTACACACTGCCGCCATCTGTTCAGTGTAGTGCCCACCACAGTGTACTCAACAGATGGCGGTAATGTTTAAGCGACGATGTTTCACAGTGAGAAATATTCAATGTGTTATGTCTGCTTGTATGTGGTTCAGGTGTGGGAGCTGCCTCCCTGGCGTCGGTAGCATTGGTGCTCAGCACGGAAAACAAGATCGACGGAAAACAAATCAAGAAAAAAAAAATGTTCTTGCTAAACGCTAATTCAAAACTACCCTAATTTGGGTAGAATCCAGCCAGATCGGTCAAAACTGAACCTACCCAAAAATGGGTAAACTGTGTTGGGAGTGACAAATTGACAAATGAACAAAGTTGATCGGATTCATGTCAATGTTGTTCATTTGTCAACTTGTGCTTTCCCAACACAGCTTACCCATTTTTGAATAGGTTCAGTTTTGATCGATATGGGTGGATATTACGCAAATTTGGGTAGTTTTGAAATAGCGTGTACGCCCAAATGCTTTGCCTATTTTCTTTGAAACTTTGTCAATGTCGCCGTTTTGCTCATATACACACAGAGTTTAGATTACCGAAGTCGGTAAAATGAGTGACGGTGCCTGGAGCCTTAATGCGAAATCTTGAGAGCATATGCAGATAAAACCGAGCCAACAACTTATTTTTGTAATTCGACAGTGAGCATTCATAAGGGCGAATACGCGATGATCGATTCTCTTCATCGATTTTCTCTTTGCATTGCTACAGCTAAGCGAAACAATTTTCAAGAATTTGTTCAATGCAGAGTAGTAACAGGTTGTATTGGCTATCAAAAGCAACAGCAAACGCACCGAGAAACGTGAAATCTAGTGAGTTATTAACAAAAGAGAAAATCGACGAAGAGAATCGATCATCGCGTATAGGCCCTTATGCATGCTCACTGTCGAATTCTATTTTCCCTTTGAATCAGAATAATTAACTGTCAATGTGTGAATTCGGTACAAGCAAGTACAAGGTTGCTGTGATAATATCATCTTGGTGTGAATATATCAAAATATTGGGAGTATATCAAAATATATTGATAATGTCTTGCGCCTTTTAGACTGTTTTCCATTTGGTGAATTTTCACATAAATTTTACAGATGGAAAATTTTAAAATAAACCTGTTATTGTACCAACAACAGAGAGATTTTCGAACATTATAATTTATTTACGAAGTGTCAAATTTAAGTGAAAATTCATCAAATGGAACACAGGCTTAGGCTGTAAACCATTTGCCGAGTTAAATTTAACTCGTGGTTAAATGTGACACTTCGAAAGCTATTTTCTATGTTCGAAAATCCCAGTGCTGTGGATCGACCGGTTTTCGAGCCACAGTTGGCAAAATTTAACTTCTTGTCTGTCAGAAATAACCATGCTCGGATAGCAGGGTTCATCGATAACTTTCCATCTGTCAAATTTCAACCAAAAGTTAAAAAATTCGCCAAATGGTTCAGAGCCTTAGTATACCCTGAAAAAAAAAACTAACGTCCCAAAAAATGTTGATTCAACTTCTCCGATATTTCCGAAATTCACATAGGGTTAAAGCATAGAGGTAAATCTAAGACCAGAAGGCCCGGAAAAAAACATGCTCAACCTTTGGCTCAGCTCTGGTAATCTCTTCGGTCCCAAGCTAATCGATGCACCCCTCGAAACATACACTCAAAAAATTCTACACGTTAATGCTACGTGAAAAATCACGTAGATCTCAATACCTGTATTTTTTTGTGACTTTACCTGTCGCAAGTAGAATTTAGTTATCAGTATTTGATGTTCATAAGGAACACATTTCATATCCACTTTTTTATCCCATAACATTTACGTGAAAATCACATACGTTGAAGGCACTCTTTTGACAGCTTGACCTTCACGTACATGCTACGTGTTTTACATGTATGAAAAAATAAGAAACATGGCCACTCTGCAGTACATACTGCAAGAGGTGTTAGCTGATTTACAGATTTTGAACGGTAAAAGTTATTTTATTGTATAAATAATGTGGTTTAATTTGTATTATTTGTTTTACAGAGTGTGGAATTGAATTTTTCGAGCTACAGGACATAACTACGGACCAAATTCCAAAGTTCTTCCAACCTTCCAACTAAAACAATTTGGAAGTACTTTGTACTCTGAGTTAATTTACTCCAGACGAACACGCCACCTCACTCGCCACCTCAGCCAGTAACATAAACAGAAGGAAACAGTGTTCCCACGAGTCCACGAGAACTTACTCCAAACATATAGATTATTCCTGCAATGAAATTTCCGGTGGAACCTTCCACTCCATCAGCTGTCCCCAAAGCAATTCCACAACCAAAACAATTAAGTTGAAACTCCACCGGCATCACCTGCCCCAGCATCAGCGTTTCATCGCCTTCGCCGTGATCATCCTGCGTTCGAAAATCTCCCTCAAGGATCCGGGCGACTTGCTATTCATGTTCATGGAACTGTTCCATCTTCCGAAGCGGCCAGAAATAGGCAGAATGCAGAATCACAAAATTATGTTATCCAAGGTGAAAAAGGTTCATCGCTATTGCAACACAATTCATCCAAAAATAATATATTCTTCATTTGGTTTTAATTTAAATTATACCATGATTCCATTTAAAATCTACTGAAATATGTCGTTGTTAATACTGAAATTTCACGTAGCTTGTACGTGAAACTCCAATGTTAAAATTTAGAATGGAAGCTTTCTTCACTACATGGAAGTCACGTAAGTATTATGTGAAAAGAGCGATGGAAAAAATCCACATATGTTTTCACGTAGCATTAACATGTAGAATTTTTTGAGTGTAGGAAAATCCATGAACCCCTAATTTTATCTGCCAAACTTTCATAGCGAATCAAAACAAACATAGTGTAGTACTAGAATTTTGACTAGAATGGGGTACGTTAATCGATTTGCTTGGGACCAATAGGCTAGTCAAGTAGTGAACAAATTTAAAATCGTTAGGTTCCACCGGTTGGTTAAAATCCCTTCCCTAATGTCCATCTAACTATCCCTAATATTGGGCCCATACATAAATTTCACTAGAAACTAAAAATATCAATTTGTATTATCCAGATGACGAATTGTTCTAAAAAAAATTAAGGAACAGGTATTTTTTATTGATGTACACAATCATTAGATCCATACGCCAATATTAAAACCATTAAACCTACTTTGAAAACCCATAACTATTGACCTCATCATAGGAATAAATATTTTTAGTGAAATGATAAGGAAACTATCTAAGCAATACATAAAAAAATAATATAAACTGAAAAATGTTATCGATGAAAGTATTTTATCGAACTAATGGCCAGTTACGCGTCATTCTAAGAAAATCCTAAAACAAACAAGAAAGCGATAATCTTTATAGCTGTCATATGACTGCTCGTTAGTTTTTCGGTCATATCTCAAAAAAATCCTAAGCATAAATTTGGACATTTGTTATGTCATCTAATAAAACACACGAGTACTCGATAACAAGATCATTTACCTCATTTGAGCTTCATGCTCGGATTCATGCCCATAAATTTTAAATTGGGTGGACTGAATCTTCTTCTTGAAATTCAAATAAGTAAGAAGGGTCTGATTATAAATCCTAAAAGTGGAGATGAGCGTAGAGTATTTTTGAGCCAAATGAACTGTCAAAATCTGTGCCAAACCAGCCATTGCCATTGGAAATACTCAGAGGATTTCTTAATCTCACCAGCTCGCTCACCAGATCAAATGAGAAAATATTATAATCGAAAAGTGTGTCACGTTCAGCCTAAAGCCGTTCGGCATAATGAACGTTTGACATAATGGACGTTTGGCATAATAAGTTAACATATTAACATACATATCGGACTCACAAGATCAAGAACAGTAAAACTCGAATGAGCTGCTCATGTTTAAAAGATGGAAAATGCTTCACTGTTTTTTTTAATTCAAAATTTTATGCATTATGTCAAATGACCGTTATGCCAATCGACCATTATACCAATCATCTTTACCCCAAATGACAATTAACAAAACAACCAACAACCTAATAATGCAATCACCTTTATTTATCCAGCTTTCCATGCTCGGTAATGGTGGCCTGTTTGTTTGAATAAATGTAACCTTCACTGTGCTTTTTGACACTATCTGGAGGTTCAGATTTTAACCCCTTCCTTTCTCTCAACCAGGTACAGAAGATAAAATTTTTAATGAACAACATACGCCCTCCAGCTAGTGTCAAAAAGCACAGTGAAGGATACATTTATTCATACATACAGGCGGCCACTACCGAGCATGGAAAGCTGGATTGTGTGCTTTTCAAATTCAACTGCCAGTTTTTTTTAATCATAAATAATATCCTAACTCTATTGATTAATTGATATTTGCTGGCTATTTAATGACCCTTGAATTACACAAAATATTGCGATGCTGTCAATTATTATTTTCCACGTACATCGACTCGTATGAAAAGTCATATGAAACGCTACCTTCTGGAAAGGGTTGTAGATATATGCTATACCAAATCCTGTTGCTGTTGTTTTTTACCGATAAAAATCGTTACTTTTTACTTAAAATAGGTTATTTTTTACTAAAAATTAGGACATTTTGAACGTTTATTTTGGAAATCCATCATTATCGATAATTTAGGTATGACCATTTTCTTGGATTATCGGCAATCTTGAAAACTAACAACACAATCCGGTGTATAGGAATGATTCCTACCTCATGCGAGATTGAGCTTTTATCCGCCAGAAATCGACGATTGATCCCATTGTTTACAAACTCATGTACTGTAATAACAAGGTGGTGATATGAGATGATATAGCTCGCTCTAATGGAGAAGGGGGTTGTAAGACTATGTGACAAACAATGAATTAAATATGGGAAAAACGTGACGAAGGGTAGGGAATAAAATTTTCCTTCATAAGGTTATGATTACCTATATCCAGAATAGCTGGTTAGGCACTTCTCATGGTTGTTTTCTATGCGAGGGTTCAATATATGATTTGTTATAACAGGTTATAACTAGACGGCATCCTTGACTTCACCTAAAATTTACATGGGTTGCCATACTACCACGTGGAGTGCGATATACTAATCTTTAAGACGTGTATATATTAGTCTACAGGTGTGACTTCTTTGCTTGGACCGCTACCACCTTGGTAGATAGAATATTTTACAAAGAACAACGTGAATATGATTCATTTCGAAAAACCTTCTTTCCATACCAAACAAACAAGCAAATAAACAAACAAACGCAAATGCATGTTGAATTCCGTTTTAATGTTTACGTTTTAGAACCACGTGTCTCGACGTCAAATACGGAATTGGCGCGAATGAGAACGTTTCAGAATGTTGCCCCTAACGACGTCAGTTATCGACACCCAGCCGGCGGCGCTACCTATAGGATGCTTTCGCTCGGTCCTTCTCCTGATTTGTGTTCTTTTTTCTTCCGCTGTGGGTGTGACGTCACTTGCTGATGTATAGGTGCTCGGGTCCGCAGATTCCATTCGCCACGAACAGTGGTATGCGAGCATACACTCGAACCTTCGTCATCGGTACGGTAACAGTGAATACCAATATAGTCGGCTGTATGGTCGCTCGTTCACTCATTCAGTTTTGAGACACAGCCGAGTACGGGTCAACGAAGAAAACCGAAAAGAAGAGTGAAAAAAAGGAAGAGACAATTTTACTATTGCTGCTACACCAAGAAGAGTGAAAATAGCTAGAAAGTCTTGCTTAAACAGCGTGGACAGAATCAATATTGGAAATTGGATACCTGGTGGAAAACAGATTTTCCGGAAACTTGTAGAAAGACAGTAAACAATTTATTTGGAAGCAGTTACAGTGTGTGATTTTTCTATTTCTCGCACAGTCGGAAGACGCAGAAGAAGATTTGCCTTAAAGGGAAAGTTCGACATTGAAACGACGCACACAAACAAACGTGAACATATCGTTAAGTTGGACAAGCGTTAACGTAAACCGAAGGGAAAATTATCGATTTTTTTTGAGTGAATCTACTTGGATACGATAGACGTTGCACGTCGCTAGTGTCTTTCGGTAGAAGGTGAAGACGCATTTGTGTACAACGAAGTAATCGATAACCGTAGCATAATTCTACTATTTGGTTGTATCTCGTGCGAGGGTAGACCAAAAAATCAACAACGAAAACATGGCTTTTATGATGCCAGTGATGAAGAACGAGTTCGACATTTACAAGGGCCGCCAACGGCGAGTTTCCGAGTGTTCGAACAACAATGCATGCCGTTCGAGAAAGGTGTCCGAGGGTTCACGGTCCGATTGCCCCAGTTTGTCAACATCACCGGGCAACGAGTTTATGGCCGGATCACCATCCCGCCATCGTAGCCATCCGATGTACATGTCGCACTTGGCTTCGAGGCCGCAGTTTTCGCGTAACTCATCGCGCACCTCGCAGACTTCACTGATTACCAGCCCTAGCAAGGCCAGTGCCGGCAGCAGTCCACCGAAACCGGCATCCACCGAGAGTCAGAGCAGTTTGAACAAGTTCCACACCCGATTGGTGGACAAGTTGCGCAAATCGTTACGGAAGAGCAAGTCCACCGAAGGCCGTTCATGAGAAGATACACCGATGTCCAGTAGTGACCCTCCAGATGCCGATATAGATTTAAGAGATGAAGATGATGGGGAACAGCTCGAGAACGGGGAGTTGGTGCTGTCGGACAGTATCCTGCACGTTACGTCCAAACCACCACTCCCCCGTCACCGTTCCAGTGCACCGCGTCGGACCAACAGTTGCAGTGACGGTGGACGGTGCCGATCCAGGCGTGGTACTCTCAGTGCCCCGAGGTAATTTCTGGCGATTGCTTCTTTGGAACAATACAGTAGACCTAATCTTGTTAACTCCGTAAGCTATACACATACTAATCGTTTATGAGACCAACATCAGAATATCATCCAGGTGAAAACGGGTGCCATTAAGTGCGATGTTTTATCTGCATAAAACATAAACAGAACTACCGGTGAGGCGTACTTGTACATCGAGATAGAAGCACAAATTGTTTTTTTTTGTACGGTTAGATTCCACAGACTAGAGACAGTCCAAATTGAATACGTTAGGAAGCAGCAGCTTTATCTATTTATGTAACAGATGACAATTTGATTTCTAAAAAAAAAAAACAGTTATTCCTTCTCTCCTTATCATCGAGAAATGTCTAAGACTCAAGAGACTAATCACTGTGAAGAGACATCTTATGTATCTGATTCGCTTTGTTGCTCAACGATGACCGAGAAAGTCGCTTTTAACCGTTGTTTTGCCGCATGATGACAAAATCGAATGCAAGCGAGCAAAAACTACAAATTTACGTAACATGCTATACACATCGGCCGCGCTTGTAGACGTGAATAACTCTTTGGAAGTGAGCTATGTATATGTATCAATAATAATCGAATATTCTAAATTATTGGTATTGGATAGACAAAAAGGAATTAAACCCGCAACGGTACCTAATCGACCGAGAGTACGTCAGATCGAAATGCATTGAACTAATCTAATCCAAATCTGTGATATGTGCTAAATATACATAGATTTACATTAGATAACATAAAACAAACTACGAAACAATATATTATACACACGTTTTTACTCAATCAGCCCACCAGTCGGGTACGATATTGAAGACAAACACACCAAATTATCACGTTTTAAGTGCAAAAGCGAACCTTTTCGGTTTTTCAAAAAAATGATACAAATCTATATAGGTGTCTAATGTGTCCATGTCTCGTGTTTGGGTGTTATTACACGCGGAATAGTATACAGGAGAGAGACCCGCGAAAAACCAAAACATGAGAGGAGAGAAAAACCCGACGAGAGTGCAGACAGAAGGAAAATCGAAGATTATTTATGACCACACGCATTATCACACACATACACATACCTAAACATTTAAAAATGGAAACGTACGTCTTTTCAAAGCCTGAGTGTAAAAGTTAGCTGTGATTCGGAGAAGCAACAAACATTAAACGCGCCATGTGAGTGCTTGTACATTTGTGTATTTTATCGTTTGTGTCCCATAGTAAATGAAAAGCGGGTGAGGAAAAATCGGCAAAGCATGCGGTGCTATCACAGACAAATGACGGAGGTTTTTTTTTTATATAACATGTCGTAGGTCAATCGACGTTTGTTTTCGTAGAGTAATGTAGAAAAATTTGTTCCACCACGTGATTTGTTTGTGATCGATCCGTAGAACTTAGTGCGCTTAAAGCATATATTTACACACAAGAGCAGGCAAATCCGTAACTATCCAATCGTTGTTTGTAAATATTTCATGCTCGCTTTATCTAAGAATGGACATTTAGCCATTTCCAGTTACTCACAATGCTCCTTCGGGAATATACTGGATAAGAGCATGTGCTTCATAAAAAAATTGAAAATTTCAAATATCCTATTTGGCAAAATAACCTTACAAAGCCTGATATAGATGTCCTGCTTAGAGAGCTTTTCCGTTTCCCATCGTAAATGTATGCATATGACACATTTGAATAGTATTAGCAAAAAACATGAACAAAAACAAATACCAACAAATGGACAAATATCACGAATATCACGCAAAATGAAGCTTTATTTTAATTAAAGACTGCTGCTTAGGTTTAATAATTACACTTTGTGTTGTGTAGGGATAGCGAACCAACAAGTTACTACAAGTAGATTCTAATTTTTGCTATTAAGTTATCATAAGACGCTGGAAACTGCGTTTATTTGAGTCAGTCAAATGTGGTAGCAATTTTTTGTATAGTTAGATTATGCTTTTAACGCTGTGGTAGGTTTTCTTCCACTCACACTTTCATCGTGTGGTTGTACGGAAAGAAAAAAGGCAATATAGTAAAATTTGAAACCACTCTGGAAGCGGTTAAGGATGACTATAATGATCCTCCCAAATCCTAAGCGGAAATCAAAATGCAAAACATTCCACTTTGCCAAAACACATCTCAGAAGGAAATTGTTGAGAGCGGATTTAAATAGAAGAATATCTCCTTTTGTGAGAATGATTGGTTTTCTGTACCCAGAAAAGATTGTCGTTTAGTTTCAACAGAATAATTTATTTCCTTTGTTTGTGTAAGTGTTTTAAAATTTGTAATAGTATTAAGCAGAATTTGATATATTTTATATAAACATATGATATATTGGACCTATGAACAACTTAAACATGATACCTAAATAAAAAATAAATATCACTATTGAAAATTATACCAATTTGCAACATTTCTTTATTTTCTTCGAAAGTCAGCATAGGTCTATATGGGAAGGTTTTTGTCTACGTCTGACTCGACCCACTTGTCTGTGAATCTATTTGACAACACTGTCCGAAGCATCTCTATCCGGCACACTTGAGACTGTGCAAATTCATCACTGTCGAACCATTAAACCAAAACCGAAAAAAAAAATCAACAAATTCTTTTCCTCGTGCGTCAATGCAATAATGGCTTAAAAAAGAAATCTGCCTCCACCTTGTTCGACTCTGCACCTACTGCACCTGCTTCCGCCATTTGTTCTTACTGTAGGAAAAAGCAAAAAAGTGTTATATTTTTGCCAACCTCGAAGAGATGGACCCCGGGAATCGACGAAGCCGGTACAACAGAACCGTTTGCGCATTCATGGCTGTAAATACAGCACGAGCGGAATTTGTTTACAAACTCATGTAGCGTGAAAATTCATCATCTCGGTCTTGTGCGGCTGATTATTGCGCCCAACAAACAAAACTGAAACGTTTTGCTGATGGGCATGTGAGCCCCGCCCCCCGTTGTTAATTTTAGACGGAGTCGTACTTTTTTTTCCAAATCGTCAACGTACTTTGCCGATCTAGATATTGTGGTTGAAACCGATTCGAACCAGAAATTCAATGCCCTGATGCGTATGCAGAACTACACACGTCAGTTAAGTGCTAGTGACAGAAGGGCGTTTTTGTTCGTAAAATAGTCAATGCGTTGTTTCGGATCTCTTTTACCCAATTATAAAATGATTGGTTGTGTATGTTTATTGGTGTTATTAGCCATTAACACATCTAAAAATCTCACTATCTCACTTGCATCGTGCATCGTTATTGGAAATCTGCAAAATCGTCATCAATCTTCTTTCTATCTACTCAGCGTGCGCGTACCCTATTCTAGTTGAAATTCTATTACTACACTATGTTTGTTTTGATTAGCTATGAAAGTTTGACAGATAACATCAGGGGTGTGTGGATTCATGCAGAACATGCAGGGGTGAGTGAAATAGCTTGGGACTGCTTGGGACCGTTGGTACTGGTACTGAGTGAGCCAAAAATAATAATGATTTTCTTCGGGACCCAGTGGTCTTAGAGTTACCTCTATGGTTGTAGAGCATAGTTGTCCCCGATACCTTTAATGATCATGTATATTTTGACATCATCAGCGTAAAACACACGGCAGCTAGATGGTAGTACGAGGGAAAGCCCGTTGATGAAGAGTGAGAATAACAAAGGACCCAGGTTTTTACCTTTACCCAGATAAGTTTGAAAATTGTTCCGAATATTCAAATTCGATATTAACGGTGAGGTTACGATCCGTAAGGTATGATCCAAACCAGCTAACAAGATCCACAGAGACACCAATTCATTCTAGACGTTTCAGTAATATCATAGAGGTAACTCTAAGACCAGAAGGTCCCGAAGAAACGAGCTCAACTGTTTGGCTCAGCTGTGGTACTATCTTCGGTCCCAAGCTAATCGATTCACCTCTCGAAACATTGGAAACATTTGATCTGTCAAACTTTCATAGCGAATCAAAACAAACATTGTGTAGTACTGGACTTTATACTAGAAAGGTATACGTTAATCGATTTGCTTGGGACCAATAGGCTAGTCAAGTAGTGAGCCAATTTAAAATCGTTAGTTTCTTATTGATTGTTGGTAATATTTCGTGGTCAACTCTATCGAAAGCTGACTTCAAATCAGGGTATGCGTGGTGTCGATCTCAGCACCAGCATTAATGTTAAATACTTATGCAAAACGAAGCAAACTGGATGAGATTAGTAGATGTTGATCTTTGAGGTAGAAACCGAGGGGGGCGACTCTATCTACGATGCAGGGAAGATTGTGTTTTGCTGTGGCTAGCTGCGCGCACGCTGAGTAAGTAGAATAAAGATTGATTCTGAAGATTTCCTGCAAAAAGATGATGCGCGATGCAAGAAGATGCGAGAAATGAGTGCAGATTTTTCGAAGATTGATTCGCTAGTGTTAGATTTTTTGAGCACCTAGAATTGAGATTTAGATGTGTCGCCCCCCTCGGTAGAAACCGTGCTGATCCGTAGAAATCTAATTCTTGCAGGAGTCGAAAAGTACATAACTTATTTTGATTTGGAAACCCTTTGAACAAGCACACAACCATGGTGGGTATATAAATGGTGATACAGCTTTGTCACTATTTAGGCGAGGAGGTTGCGGGGGGGAAAAGTGCGGTTTTAGATCAAATTGTAAACAAACTCGGTCGCTGTCCCATACAAAAATCCAACACGGCTGAATCATGAATTTGACACATTAGAACACCTTTATATAGTCACCTTGCACACAACGAAGTTATTCCTCTGTATTTCTCGACGTTTTGTCGATCCCCTTTTTTAAACACGGGGAACAGACTGACGTTTGCCAGCTTGAGGGAAAACTACGCTTCCGTAAGATATGTTGAAAAGTGTCATAAAAGGGAAAATCAACTCTTCGTCGCATTTTTTTAGGATACACGATGGGATCAACAATCAATACGAAACTAACGATTTGAAATTGGCTCACTACTTGACTAGTCTATTGGTCCCAAGCAAACGATTAACGTATCCCATTCTAATCGAAATTCTACTACTACAGAATGTTTGTTTTGATTCTCTATGAAAGTTTGACAGATAAAATGAGGGGTTAGTGGATTTTCCTATGTTTCGAGGGGTGAATCGACTAGCTTGGGACCGAAGAGAGTACCAGAGCTGAGCCAAAAAGTTGAGCACGTTATTTCGGGACCTTCTAGTCTTAGAGTTACCTCTATGATGGTATGTCATATGGACTGGACACATAGTATTTCAATTTGTTTATCATGGAGTCCACCTGATTCGACGTGACCGCAAAGCTTCTCAGCGAACAGACACCCCACTGGGTGTATCTCTACAAGCCTCTGTGATTTGACGTGCAGACGACGTATAGAATCATTGAATTCCCTTCTAAAGTGAGTGGCAAACAAATTGCACTTTTCCGAAGCGGAAGTGGCGACTTCATTGCCCAGAAACATCTCAACGGGTAACCCATTCTCCTTCCGTTTAGAGTTGACAAATTTCCAAAAATGTCGTGGATGTCTGCGTAGATTTTCCTGAGTTTGTTTGCATTAGCGTTTGTACAGATAACGGTTATAGGTACGTGCGATAATTGTTACTAGCACGTGCGAAATGTTGCTTGGCCAAAGGACAACGAGACTGGCAGTAGGTTCGGAGTGCTTTGGATCTTAGACGTTTGAGTCGTCGTTAATGTGTATTTCCCCAAGGTGGATTCGAAGATGGCCTGCGCAGTGGAACAAAATCAACCAAGTAACACACTGTACCAAGGAGTACTCTATAGCAATGTCAATATCTTCAGTGGATTCAAGGATGTGCCAGTCAGTATGGCGAAGCGCTTCAAGTAATCCTTCAAAATCAACGTGGTCCAGGTTCCAGGTTCGTCCGGGAAACTCTAAAATTCAGTAGGCTGTGCGAGACTAATAGTTGCTTCAAATGCGGGATCGGCATCAAGAATCGAGAACGGTTCTACAGCTTCTTCAATCTGGCATCGAGACAGCGTTGCTTCATTCACCA